AATAATAATAATAATAATAATAATAATAATAATAATAATAATAATAAGAATAATGATGATGATGATGATGATCATAATGATAATAATAATGAAATGTCAATAAAAACAATAAAAAATCCATAAATAGACTATAAATTTATTATTTGAGTTTTAAAAAACTATGGTTTTACTTAAAACAATACTAACTTATTCAAAACATAACTAAAATTCAAAAATTTATTAAGAAAAAAGCATCGGTCAAAATGTAGCTAGTAAACAAAAATAATTTAAATATGTTAAAACAATGATAAGAAAATAAAGAACGTAAAGATAGATGGTTTTGCTATGGTTTTACAACTGAATCTTTCTCCTTAATTTCATTGATTTAAATTTCAAATTTAAACAGCTTCAAGAAAAAGTATGTCTAGATATAAATCCTTTACAAGGATGTTCTTAAAATGGCTCTTTTTTTCTCTCTTTTAATTTTAGATCAGATTTTCTAGTAAATTCTTAATCGATTTTTGTTTAAAATTTACATGAAAATCTTGAAAACAAAAAACCAAAATTAGTTGTTTTCTATTTTATCTCTTTCTTAGAAAAATATAATTTCGTTAATAAATAATTTAATATTCTTTGAAAAGGTGTCACGCATGCTCGAAGGCATTTAGCCAGGCGGCGAACCTGACCGCGCACGCGAGGACGCACTCCGGCGAAAAACCTTTCCGTTGTCCGGTGTGTGACAGGAGATTTTCGCAAAGCAGCTCAGTAACCACGCATATGAGGACGCACTCGGGTGAACGACCGTATAGGTTTGTATATCTGAATTTATTCTTCAGTATCAACCGAAAGACAAATCGGTATTTATCCTTGAATTCTGGCAATCTGATATTATTTACTAGTTATTAAATTATGTTTTTAAATTTTGGCTAGCAATAAGTGGCAAATAACAAGTGATTCTAATTGACAATTCACAACTGTGATTAATCATTAAAACGAATAAACATGAATTTTCTATACAATTTAGTATTTATGACTCCTGTTTCCTTATTGTATAATAGCCACATCAAATTAGAAAGAAATCGATGAATCCTTTTCTTGTATTATACGTCGAAATAAGTTAATATTTTTATATGCCACCACTCGCGTTTGATAATAGATTGGTAACATATATGATAAATTTCCTTTGTTATCCAAGTTTAATAGATGCATGTATGTATAATTCAGTCTGTGTATCATCCTTTTGATAAAAATAGATATTGATCAAGATCTAGAATTATTTATTAATCAAATAGTTTTTTGCTATATTTTAATAATTTAGCTATCAAATATACGTGGTGGAATGCGAAAACACTAATAATTATTTCGAAGTTTATATCCTGGTGTATTGTCAGCATCCTGTAATTAATGACAGTCTTCTGAAATTTTGAGGTCATCTCAATTAAAATTACTATACATATAGTATTTCGTCTCTTACATGCATAATACGTGGTATGTCCCAAAAGTAATAAGAATTAATTTATAATAACCCATTTACATACTCCCAATCGACAGTTACTTCGGATTTCTTTTAAAATAGGCTCATTGAGAAAGCACACACTGTTCTATAATACCAGTCCTGAAAGCAGCGCTGAAAATCCGCATCTGTGAATGTATTCAGCGCGTGTGTCACGACCTTTTGGAATTGATCGAAAGTCTTGTGATGGTAACCCTTTAACAGATTTTTCACTTTGGGAAAAGTAAAGAAATCACACGGAGCCAGATCAGGGCTGTAAGATGTGGAAAGAGGGATGTTTTTCTTTGCCAAAAACTTCCTTACTGTTAGCACGTTATGGCAGGATGCGTTATCGTGGTGCAGAATTTAAAAAAACATCCTTGTTCTTCCATACTACAGCTCTGACCTGGCACCGTGTGATTTCTTTGCCTTTCTCAAAGTGAAAAACCCGTTGGCTTGGACCAAGTTCTAGCATCGTAGACACATGCCTTTAAAGGACTCATGGGACTCTCAAGTATGTAAATGGGCCATAATAAATTCATTCTCATTACTTTTGAGACACACCTCGTGTATACAGGGTGTTTTAAACATAGGACAAACTTCGGAGTGTGGTAGGTCTTACAAAAAAAAAAAATCAATTTTTGTTAAAGTTTGTCCATGACAATACTGTCAAAAAGTTAATGATCAATACGAAGAAGTCCGACGAATCTGTGCTAAATTTTTGTGTATATGATTTATGATGTACAGCTTCTTTGACATTATCACAGTAAAATATCAATCAAACTTATATATTTCAAAAGTCATAAAAAAAATATTAATTTTTCGCGCTTTAACATATATAGTTTCGGCTGATTGTCCGCGTTATGCATATGTGTGTAAATACCTCATATGTACAGATATATAAACTATGCTATTAGATCTTCACAGGTTATAGGTATTTATATATTTCATCGCTATCAGAAATGATGAATTTTACGTATCAATTCCTTCAAAACTAGACAGTTAAAGGTTTTGTATTTTTGTAAGAATATTTTTATAAGTCTCTTTTACTATCTTTTATATTGAAACCGTAAGAGTAGTTTTCTTGCTACAATTAGGAACGTGATATTGAAAGCCGTTTTCGTAATTGTAATAAATGTAAAAAGCGCTACTTTGACTTCCATTATTTCAACTTTGATATGGTCAATCCTTATACACATATGTGTTTAGATCGTGTTTACATTATTATGCTGTTCAAATTTTACAAGATTACTAAGAAAATGGGTTTGCGGACAAACTACCTTAAACTCTTGTCTTTCGATGACATGTCTTTAAGAAGCTATATGGATCCTTATTCGCACCGCCTTAAAACGTAAGCGTAAGAAAATCAATCAATCCCAATCGAGTATTGTGCTGTCCGTAACTCCATGCAGTAGGGAAAAAATACTCGATTGGGATTTGTCGATTTTCTTACGCTTACGTTTTACGTCCTTACGGAATTTTATGTGTGAAGGCCTTTTTATATTTTATTACAGGAGGTGCTCAAAGTGCCTCTTGACTACTGTCACTTCAACAGCAAAAGCGACACAAGTCGACACAAATGTCGTTCTATCTTTTTTTTTAGCAATGAGTAACAAAGACAAAACGACACTTGTGTCGACTTGTGTCGCTTACTGGAAAGCTCCTAAAAACAGCCACATTTTGGAAGAAGAAAATTGCGCTCCGTTTGCGTCTCACCAGCAACAGTTTTCAATCAACACCTGACGCCTCTTGATTTCTTTTTATAAAAATATAAGTTAGAAAAATAAAAGAATAAGGTATTCATTATATGTAATTAATATAATCAGATGCAAGGCAGGAATTTTGAGCACCTCTTATAATAAAATGTGTAAATAAAAATATAAAAAAACAACAAAAAACCAAAATTGAAATTAAAGAACGTGTAGACTAGTGGCTACGTTTACACCCAGCGACCTGATCGCGGCCTGACCTATATTGTGACCCGAAGTAGGTCTAGTCATCATTTGTTTACACCGAAAGAAACCTAAAAATTGACGGGATCGTATTTGGGATCGCCCTGAATTGCAGCGAATCCGAACAAGCAAATGAAGCTTTTAGGACGCGTCGCGCTTGATCGCGCGTTTACATCGCAAATGATAACGGCCGATTTCAGGTCGGGTCACTAAAATACGTGGCCTGATCTGAAGCCAGGTCCGGTCGTCTATCAACTGTTTACAGCAGGCGGGCTAAATAATTTAGGTCGAATTTGAGGTACAGGCCGCGGCCTAATTTCAGGGTGTAAACGTAGCCAGTATTGTCATATGTCACGCGCAATGCTCTCGTGCGACTGGTTACCACTTCACAGGCAGTGTGAATAAAGGCCTCCGCACAATAAAAAATATAAGGAACAAGGAACAGATATTAGCGATTAGGACTAAAGAATCAAGAATAAAGTTGAATGCACGATAAAAAATACAGGCAACAGAAACAGGGAATAACACAGGCAATAGATTTTTAACCTATCGGAAGCCGCTGTAGCATTAATACACGCGTGTATTAATGCTACACGCCAGTTTTATTCCTGATTTCTTATTTCTAATCGCTAATATCTGTTCCTTGTTCCTTATATATTTTTCATTGTGCGGGGGCCTTAAGGATGCGTAGCTCCTCAAGAACGCGTCGGAGGACACGGGTTCTTTAACAAACATTGATTCTTTTGGAGAGACCTATTATTCCCTAAAGCTTGTTTTCCATGGGTCTTAAAACACTCTGTATAAACAGAGTGTATAAAGTTCCAGAACGGTGAAATATCTTGAAAAAGTATTATAAAAAATCTTTCATAGGCCGGTATTCATAGTCGGTTCTTATATTTAAGACCATTTTAAGTACAATCTTAAGATGTCACTGGCTACGTTTACACCCAGCGACCTGATCGCGGCCTGACCTATATTGTGACCCGAAATAGGTCTAGTCATCATTCGTTTACACCGAAAGAAACCTAAAAATTGACGGGATCGTATTTAAGATCGCCCTGAATTGCAGCGAATCCGAACAAGCAAATGAAGCTTTTAGGACGCGTCGCGCTTGATCGCGCGTTTACATCGCAAATGATAACGGCCGATTTCAGGTCGGGTCACTAAAATACGCGGCCTGATCTGAAGCCAGGTCCGGTCGTCTATCAACTATTTACAGCAGGCGGGCTAAATAATTTAGGTCGAATTTGAGGTACAGGCCGCGGCCTAATTTCAGGGTGTAAACGTAGCCAATAACCAATCACAGAGCCGTATTAACATCTTAAGATATTACTTAAGACGATCTTGAAATAAGATCTGATTATGAATACCGGCCATAGAAAAGTTGTAGGGTTAGGTCAGATTAGGTTTAAGGTGTAGGATTTAAGAATGTTTATTTATTGGCCTTATCAGATTGACGGTTAGATTTCGATAACTTTGGCGCCTTAATTTGACGACGGTTTCTGATAGTACTTTTAACGCTGAACAAAAAATTACATAGGTCTTATAGGGCTAACCGCTCTGGTTTTCGAGATATACAGTGTTACCCAGCCGGAACGCCGACGTCTATAGACGTCGAATTGATCTTATAGATGTCGATTCGACATCTATTGACATCTATAGACGTCGAAAAGACGCTAGCATTCCGGCTGGGTAAAGTTGGCAAAACTTTAGATTAAGGATGTATCACTGGTACAATCTTAGACAAAAGTGCATGAAATTTGAAATACTTGAATATCTACGCCTAACGCATAGTAAATCTAGATGTAAGATACTCAAATGATAGTAGGAGTCTTATTTTTACTCTTACAAAGGTATTTTTTACTTTACAAATGTTTTTTCCAGTATTATTTGCGATTTTTATAATTTATGAGCCTAAACTTTTGGCAGTAAAAATGCCCTGATTTCAACTTTATAACGTCAAATTATTAATAAAATTAATAATTAATTATTAATTATTAATTTATTTCTTTAAAACGGTGTAGTGAAGACAATTGAAACTTGACAAATAGTTTCATCTATTCGTATACTAGATGTACAAAAAAATTCAAAATATTGGTAGCACTCCTTCAACATTTTTTTAGCTGTTTTATCCGTCAAAATCGTCTCTTCCCATAAAAATACGTGTAAAATCAGTGAAAATTAAAATCGTTATATCTCAGCAACCGTTTAGTGGATTCGTTTCTACTTTTTTTGTAGCACATCAGGAAGACTAAAAGAACATTCTCACAAATTTTTATCCACTTGGTAGCGCTTTGAAAATAGGTGCAATACATCCTTAAGGGCGACCTCACTGATTTCAATGACCTTGATATATGTTGATACGAAACGAGGTGCCACATGGGTTTACATCTTTTCACGCGTGGAAAGCCGACGCATGTACTTTGAAGGCACATTATGTTTCTAGTTTAACAATAGTGAAACTCCCCGCAGGGGGGCGAAACCTACTGCCTCCACGCACACACTTTCCACGCGAAACGACGTGCCACATGGGTTTATAACTTTCCACCCGTGAGTCCCTCTCCTGCCCTGCTATATTTTTCAAACTTTTTTTGTTAATAACCTTTTAATAAGCAACGAGCGACGGCCGACGATTAAGTTATAAGAAAAAGTTACTCAGAATTATGTCCTTGACAACATATATCAAGGTCATTGAAATCGGTGATGTCGCCTTTAATCTAATGCTTTACCAACTTTTTAACACTGTATATCTCGAAAACCAGAGCGGTTAGCCCTAGAGTTCCTCTAGTAAGAGTTAGAACACCGCCCGCCATTAACAAGGAATTATGCGAACGATCGAAAGAGACAGCCTTCCCACTCTTGTACTTCGGAATGTGCTTTGTCTCACTCCCACTAACTTCTCCCCTGTTAATGGCGGACGGTGTCCAAACTCTAGTTAGCCCTATAAGACCTATATAATTTTTTGTTCAGCGTTAAAAGTACTATCAGAAACCATCGTCAAATTAAGGCGCCAAAGTTATCGGAATCTTGGCAGTTTGACCTTGGGTCCGACCCTTTGGTCGCCAAGGTCAGGTCAAAGTTACCCTGAATTTTTTAAATAGGACCTCCTATTTTTTATCGCATGTTCTTATAACCCTTCTTGAGACCTTTTTAAAACACTTACTATAATTTTATTTGTTTTGGGTCAGGCAGTTTCGAAGTTATCGTTTTTTATGATAAGATAAGTCGGCAACCGTAACTTTACCCAAGATGAAAGTAAAGATACCACTATCGTACTGTTATTCCTATGTATAAAGGAGGTAGTGGTAGATAATGTATACAGAGGTGAGGTAAAGTGGGTAAAGTAGACATGGTAAAAAGATAAAGTGGGGGTGATTTGGTGGCAAGAACAGATTGGCACCGTGTGTATATGCGTGTATGTGTGTGTCAGTTACTTGAGATCTTTAGCATTACATTGCTGAATACGAGACGAGGGAAAGAGGACAACTGTTTAGATATAGGAATGATTTCAAATCAGTTGGCCGCCAGTATTAGCGTTACTTAATGTGTACCGCGAGGAAGCTGCTTGGTCAAACTTTGCACCAGTAACGCTTACTGTTCGTGGGCGGTATTTGCCGGATACGGACAGATATTTTAAATAATGTCGTAATTAGTCCATTTTTTATTAAAGGTGATTTGACAGCACTAAAATATAATAAAGGATATGCTAAGAAATCAAATAGTAGTAGCAATAAAAAGCAATTGTAGGTGAAATCTTTGAGCGCCCATGGTTCTAATAAGATACCATCCCCTCTTTTATACACGGGTATAATATGATAGTGCTATCTCCACTTATTTCATCTTGCCACAGTCGCCGTTTTATCATAAAAAGCTTAACTTCGAAACGACTGACCCAAAACAAAATAAAATTATAGTGTCTTGAAAAGATCTCAAGACGGGCTATAAGTATATGCAATAAAAAATAGAAGATCCTATTAAAAAAATTCAAGGTGACCTTGACCTGACCTTGGCGACGCCACCCAAGATCAAACTTATAAGTAAAGTAAACATTTTTAACCCTACATCTTTATAAATTTTTTTTTTAGATATTTTGCCATCCTGGAACTCTGTATACACCCCTATATACATATGAAGTGCTATATTTACTAAACCATAGCAAATACAACAAAAGTTTATATAAATTTTTTATTCTACTTAAGCTCCTCTCTCATCTCCTAGTTGGTTCACTTTACCTTTCTATACATCCTGTATATAACACACACACACACACACACACACACACACACACACACACACAC